GATCTCTGTATCCCAGAACCCTGTTGTTCCCAGGTTGTGCATATATCATTATTTACCTCTGTCTCACTTAGCCCATTGAGATCTGTGTAATTGTTCTCCCATCCAGTGATAGATTTTTGAAAGGATAAAGATGTCAGTGCTTCCCTAAACCTTGATTTTTAAAAAATTTCACACATAATCTCTAAGCATGCAAACCGCATGCTTGATGTTCTTCCAGTTTGGTAAAAAGCAAGGTGTACAGGACAGGCGAGTTTCTCAGTGGTGGCGCTGTGAGATACCAGAGCCTCTTTCAGAGCACTTGACCTGGCCTATGCCAGAGTAACCCGTGTAAATCTGTGCAGCTCTCCCTCTTTTCCTTTTTTTTCACTCCTCACAAGGACTGATGTTAAGTTTGCAAGTATTTTGATCTGGTGTCCATAGTTCCCCCTTCTCCCCGGCAGGATCCCCCAGACTTTGTTTCAGGCCTAGGGGAAGAACAGTTGTGATTCACCAAACTCCCACTTTCCAGATTCTGGTTCAGATTGGCTGTCACCTTGCTCCAGCCATATGCTCTAGCCTTCATCCCTTCGTATTTTTTCCCTCTGTTGTGCACAGAACTGGGAGCCTGTGCTGGTCAGTATCTCTTGCCGCTGATTTACTTCAGTTAGGCAGTAAGCAGGACAGCACACTGGCTGTAGAGAAGAAAAACACCTTTCCCTCGGTGCCAGATAACACTCAGTATTTAGTTTCCTGTGCTGTTTTTGTTGAAAGTGGATTTTTTGGCAGGTGTCACATTTGTGTTGCACTAGTTCCTCCCAGTTTTTTCTCCTCACCCTGATTTGAGCTGTTTGGGGTAAGGGTTCTTGAAGTCCATTTCTCTGGCTGCTGCTGTTGCACTTTAGCTAGTTTGTTAGTCTTTAGGTGTTTAGTGTCTAAGGGAGAGCAGCAGTGAAGACAACTCTAAATCATTATTTCTTTATGAAATGTTTAAATGTTCTGGCAGTCACCAAGCAGTAATATCTGCATATAACTCTCAGAATTATGTGCAGCCTCACTACTGTTGTTGTTAAGTGCCAGCGAGTCGGTTCTCACCCATAGCGACCCTGTATAGGGTTTCTGAAGAGCAGTTCTGATGAGCTTGAACAGCCAACCTTGCAGTTCAAACCAACTTTGCAGTCCAGCGCATGAACCCAAATAGCAGTACTCAATACTCTACCTTATATACTTGAGAAATAGAAGTTTGAAAACTTGAAAGTTGATTTTTATAACCATTTGACATTTTTGTTAATTTTGTGTTTTTATTATTCTACAAAGACTTTGGACTCTGCCTTCTTTTTTAAAAAATACTTGATTAGCCACATATCCAGTCTCCACCATTTGTTAAACATCCTTGCAGAGAAATTTAAACTTCATTGAAAAAACCTCTAATAATTCTAACTGCTGCTTTTTCTTAATTCCTTTATATTGGACTATATAAATTTTTACTCAGAGGCACAGCTAGCAGAGTATAAAGTGTAGCAGAATCACTTTTTTTCTCTCTCTCTCAAAATTTTGTTGTCTGAAGAGAATGATAAACTGCATTTTAGATTCTCTCAACGATTTATTTTGTAGTGACTAAAAGATTTAAAACTCCATTTTAAATCAATATTTTAAATAAATAACTTGATATTTAAATATGTTAAATGAGTAGCATATAGTTTTGGAACCTTTGGCTAATAGGTGCACTGGAAAAAAGAGTTGGTTAAAATTATAACCAGGAATTTAAAAATCAACTTGGCCCTTTCTTCAGAGCTCTTCATTCACGTTTTGCTCCCTTTATAATCTACATTGGAAAATAGCAGTCTCTCCTTACCAGCTCTAACAGACCTCAGCGGATACACTCAGCCTTGTAAGTGAAGGGCAGGAACGGTACTTATACTTTGCCCCAGCCACTAGGGAATGTCTGCTTACTGTCCATTCCTGGAGCCCTTTGCTACTCCTTAGCTCTATCACTTTTCAGAGCTTGTGAAGAAAATGGCATATTTACTCAGCGCATAGTTGTAGGCACAGAGGATATAGTTGTGAAGAAAATAAGTCTGTGCGCTCTTGTTACGGTAATGCATCTTGGGATGTATGATTACGGTAATGAAGGGATCCAGACTGATTAGATTGAACAAATGTTTCTAGAACATTTCAAGAGACCTTAATTTTTAATTTTTGTCCCATGCAGCTAAATCCCTACTCTGCCTAAACAAATATATATATTTTCATAGAACCTATCTCAGCATAGGAGCCCAGTTCTTGAATTATACATTTGAATAAGGCACTGTAAGGAAAGCACTAGACTGCAAGGTTGGTTTGAACTGCCAAGGTTGGTGGTTCATGTTCACCAGACCGTGCCTCGGAAACCCTATACAGTGTTGCTCTGAGTTGGAACTGACTCAGTGGCACTGAACAACAACATTGTTGTTGCAAGGTTCAGGATTTCCTTGTTTAAAAATCTGTTTTTATGTTTAAAACTAGAATAGATAACTTAATGTTTGAGTAACACAATTATTACCACTGGTTGTCTATGTTTTCAGATGGGGAAGAAAAACAAAGCCAACAGTAATAATATGCCAAGCGCAGTTCTGAGCACTTTACTAACATTAGCTTATATGAAACCATAAAGGGGGTAGATACTGTTCATCACCTCATTTTACACAACAGAAAATTGAAGTACAGGTAGGTTAAGTAACTTGCCCAACATTGCGTAACTGATAAGTAGCAGTACTGAAATTTGAATTGAGGCATTATGGCTCCCGATTATACCATATTGTCCTTCCAGCCTAGCACACTAAACTAATAATTACTGAGAAACCCAGGCTCTGCTATGTGATCTCCATCATCTGTGTGCCTCAGTTTCCCTTTATATAAAAGGTTTTTAACGCTGTGAGTTTCATGTTAAACAGTCATGGCTATTAAATGCTTTCTCGCATTTATATACTCCTCGCATATAAAATAACATGTATCATTCATATGTAACTGATTTTAGATGAAGCTAGTTAAGAAATGTCAGGGGCATATATAATTGCTCCATATTTCCTTGCTACTGATAGAACAGTATCCTAACAGATTGTCTTTCTGTTTTGTCTTCATTTGGTAGAAAAGAGTAGTTGAACAGCTACGAAAGAACTTGATAGTCAAGCAAGAACAACCAGACAAGTTCCAAATACAGCCATTGCCACAATCTGAAAACAAACTACAAACAGCACAGCAGCAGCCACTACAGCAACTGCAACAACAGCAACAACAGTACCATCACCACCACGCACAGCCGACAGCTGCACCCTCTCCCAGCTTGACTGCTTCACAGGTAGAGTGGGCCTCGCTGGTATTGCAAGCTTTATGAGGAGTGGTTCCCTATTGGTCAGGGAGCCCTGGGCCTTGTTTTAGACTCCATTAACCTGGTACTAAACAAGCATCATTTTTGTTACCTTGTTACACTGTAACTGGGATAAGAATCACTTGCATTTCACTGACAGAAGGAAATAGTATTATTAAGGAACAAAAGTTTAATGATTTTTCTACCTTGTTCAAAGGAGAAGATGAGGTAAAGAAAAATTGCTTCTCTGCATTAGAAAAGAATTAAAGCCTTATTTTAAATGTTTGTAAGTATTTGTATACATTGATTGTATATTCAAATCTGTGGGATTTGATCTCTTCTAGAATTGTTCTTTGGGAATTTTTAGCAATTAGAGGTGGAGCAGTTGGGACCAAGAGGAAAGAAGCAAGCAGAGGATAATATATTTCCATTATTAATAGAAACAAAATATTTATTCCTAAATCCACTGTCTTGGGAATAGAAATCTACTCTAATATACTGACGGAAATCTCAAATGGAAGCTACAGGTCAAAATTAGAATTAAGGGTGGCTGCTTAATCTTCTAACTAGTTGTAGCTGTGTAAGTATTTATGCTGCAAAGGGCATTTGAACTAACGTAATGTAAGGATCCACCACTCATCTGTTACCTTGTCATACTGTGGTGGCTTGTATGTCGCTGTGATACTGGAAGCTATGCTGCTGGTGTATTAAATGCCAACAGGGTTACCCATGGTGGACAGGTTTCCCCAGAACTTCCAGACTAAGATAGACTAGGATGAAGGAGAGGCAGACAACTCTGAATGTTTAGCTACTGAAAACAACATATGAATAACAGTGGAACATTGTCAGATACAGTGCAGGAAAATGAACCCATCAGGTTGGAAGGCACTCAAAATACAACTGAGAAATAGCTTCCTTCTCAACATATTGTTGTTAGGTACCATCAAGTCAGTTCTGACTCATGGCGAACCTATGCACAACCAAATAAAACACTGAGTAGAACTGTACCATCTTTACAGTCGTCATGTTTGAGCCCATTGTTGTTGCCACTGTGTCAGTCCATCTCATTAGGAGTCTTGCTCTATTTTGCTGACCCTCCACTTTACCAAGTATAATGTCCTTCTCCAGGGACTGATCCCTCCTGACAGTGTTTCCAAAGAACGAGCTTTGCCATCTTGGCCTGTAAGGAGGATTCTGGCTGTACTTCTTCCAACACAGATTTGTTTGTCCTTCTGGCAGCCCATGGCATTGTCAATATTCTTTACCAGTACCATAGTTCAAATACATTGCTTCTTCCATGGTCTTCCCTATGCATTGTCTAATTTTCCTATTCATAGGAGATGATTGAAAACTACCATGGCTTGTGTCAGGCACACATTAGTCTTCAGAATGACATCTTTGCTCTTTAATTCTTTAAATCTTTGCTCTTTAATTCTTTAAAGAGGCGTTGTGCAGCAGATTTGCCTAATGCAATATGTCATTTGATTTCTTGACTTCTGCTTCCGGGAGTGTTGATGGTGGAACCTAGCAAAATGAAGTCTTTGACAATTCAGTCTTTTCTCAGTTTATCATGATGTTATTTATTGCTCCAGTGGTGAACAGTTTTGTTTTCTTTACATTGAGTTGCAATTCATACTGTAAGTTGTAGTCTTTGGCCTTCAAGTCCTCTTAGCTCCCAGCAACCCAAGTCCTATCGTCTGCATATTGCAGGTTGTTAATAAGTCTACTTCTCCAATTCTGATGCCACATTCTTCTTCATATAATCCAGCTTCTCAGATTATTTGTTCAATTTGCAGATTTAATAAGTATGGTGAAAGAATACAACCCTGGCACACACTTTTTCTGATTTTAATTCTGTATTCCCTTGTTCTGCTCGAAAGAATGCCTGTTGGTGTTTGGACAGGTTTCTCATGAGCACAATGAAGTGTTCTGAAATACTCATCCTTTGCAATGTTGTCCATAGTTTGTTATGAATTGCATAGTCAAATGCCTTTGCATAATCAATAAAGCACAAGTAAACATTTTTCAGCATTCTTTTCAGCCAATGATATATCTCGTTCCACATTCTCTTCTGAATCCACCTTGAATTTCTGGCAGTTCCCTGTCAGAAGAAGGAGAGACAGACCATTTCTTAATAGTTAGCCAGTGAAAACCATATGAATAGCTGTAGAATTTTATCTGATATAGTACCAGAGATGAGCCCCTAAGGTTAGAAAGCACTTAAGATATGACTGGGGAAAAGCTGCCTCCTCAAAGAAGAATTGACCTTAATGACATGATATTGGAGCAGAGCCTTTGGGACTTTCGTTTGCTGATGGGACACAACTCCAAAGAGAAGACGTATTAACATCCATTAATAATTTGAATAGAGAGTGTAGAAAAATTGGAAATTGTCAAAAGTGAAATGGAGCTCAGAAGGAACAGCATTAGTGTGGAGAAACCACCACTTGTCTGTCAGTTTGTTGTACTGTGGTGGCTTGCGTGTTGCTGTGATGCTGGAGGTCATGCACTAGTATTGTAAATACCAGAAGGGTCACTGACCGCTTCCAGACTAAGACTAGGAAAAAGGAGAAGTGGACTACTAATGAATGTTTAGCCATTGAAAATCTTATGACTAGTAGTGGAACACTGAATATTGTCAGATACAGTGCCAGAAGATGAGTCCCTCAGGTTGGAAGGCTCAAATACAACTGGAGAAGAGCTGCTGCCTCCTCCAAGTAGAGTAAAGATTCTGGAAACATCATGTGATGATGGGGCACAACTCAAAGTGAAGAGAAACATATATTAATAATCTAAGTAAGAGTCTATGAAAATTGGAAGTTGTCAGATATGAAACGGAATGCATAAAGATCGATATCCTAGATACTGTTGTTAGGTGCCATCCGGTCGGTTCCAAATCATAACGACCTTGTATAGGGTTTTCGAGGAGCAGTGATGGGTTTGAACTGTCAACCCTGTGGTTCTCAGTTCAGTACTTACCTTCCAGCACCGCACCAGGAGTCCCAGATATTAGTGAACTGAAATGGACTGGTAGTGGCCATTTTGAATCTGACAGTCATGTGGTTTACTATGCTGGGAATGACAAATTGAAGAGGAATGGACTCACATTCATCATCAAAAAGAACATTTCAAGATCTATCTTGAAGTATAATGCTGTCTGTGATAGGATAATATCCATAGCCTCCAATCAAGACCAGTTAATACCACTATTATTCAAATTTACCTCCCACTAAAAACAGTAATGATGAAATTGAGGAATTCTACCAACTTCTTCAATCTGAAATTTGTTAAGCTTGCAATTAAGGTGCATTGATAATTACTAGTGACAATTAATGCCAAAGTTGAAAACAAATAGGAAGGATCATTATTTTGAAAATAGAGCCGTGTGATAGAAATTATTCTGGAGATCACATTGATAGAATTTTGCAAGACCAAGGACTTATTCATTGCAGATACCTTTTTTCAGCAACATAAAATGTGATTATACACATGGACCACACCAGATGGAATCCACAGGAATCAAATTGATTACATCTGTGGGAAGAATCAATGAAGTAGCTCCATGTCATCAGCCAAAACTAGGTCAGGGGCATACTATGGGACAGACTATCTGCAAGTTCAGACTGAAGTTGAAGAAAATTAAGACAAGTCCACGAGAGTCAAGTTATGATCTTGAGTATATCCCACCTGAGTTTACAAACCATCTCAAGAACAGATTTGATGCTTTAGACACTAATGACTAAAGACCAGAAGAATTGTGGGGATGGCATCAAGAACATCATCTAGTGACATGGAGTGATGAAGTGGCTGGGGACTTTGGATCCAGAGAGGGAGAGGCACTGTGTGCTGAAGACTGGGGGTGGGAGGGGTGGGTTTGTAGGGTATACCCTTTGGTCGGTTGATGATGCATGGAAGGAATTGGAACCATGGCAATGAAATGATATACGATAGAATGAATGTAAAACTAAAGTTCTCTCATGTAAACTAGTATATAATTCACATTAAAACATTTTTTAAAAAAGAACATCATCTAGGTCAAAAGGAATACATGAGCAAGCATATAAGCTTGCTGGCAACCATGTTGTTCTACATGTGAATGGAAGTGGGGGGAAAGGCTGTGTAATGAAGATACAGGCTAAGTTTGACCACGTTCTATAGATTAATGTCTGCCTTGAGATGAGAGAGAAAAGAGGAAGGTCTGGTTAGTCCAAAGTTTGCAGAGACTTGGGAACTCCTGAGCCCATGGACAATGACCTAGCCACAGAGGACTAAAGTGTAAAGGACTGAGAGTAAAGTGTCCAGCTGATATGAAGTGGGAGAGACACACAAGAATGCCCACCAAACTTGCAGATAGTACCCATTTGACCTAGCTTCGATGGCTTTATGACCAGAACTCGACTAGAGGAAAATAAAGAAATTTACTTAAGGGAGCAAGTGTAATGTGCTACAATTTGATGAACTTGACCTATACTTCAGGATGTAGTAGCTCAAAATACCAACCGAGATTGAAGGAATCATCACCTCAAGGATCATGCTTGTTCTCTTGGTATATAGAGTTGATAGGGAAGAGCAAATCAGGCACTGGCTACCTAAAATGTGTGTGTGTGTTGGGGGGCAGGGGAGCTGTAAAGGCATGAATTGACTGGCTTACAAGTTTTCAAGAGGGAGTTTAGTTTCAGAGTGTGCAGGGGAAGGTAGAATTACCACTAAGTAATTTTCATCTTGTCTAGATGGGTCTGGTGAAAGGAGATAGGGATAGGACTCTTTTGATTCAATTATTAGTAATTGTTATCATTACTAATTGCAATTGTCACAACTGTAAAGGTAGAAGTTTTGTCATGTAAAGCGGGAAGTTGTTGTTGTTGTTGTTGTTAAGTGCCGTCGAGTCGGTTTCGACCCATAGCGACCCTGAATAGGGTTTCCGAGGCTGTAAATCTTTACGGGAGCAGATCGCCTCATCTTTCTCCCGCGGAGCAGCTGGTAGTTTCGAA